GTCCAGAGAAGGCAAATTTACTGAGGCCGAGAGTGGACTAGTGACTGCCTAGGAGCAAAGGTGGGAATAAGAGTTGACTCAATGGGCCCAAGGGATGTTTAAAACTGAATTGTGGTGATGCTTGCAGTTTTGTAACTTTACTAAAAACCATTGAACTTTACATTGAAACTAGGTGAACTTAATGGTATGTAAATTATACTTTGATAAAGCTGCTTTTAAAAAAGAAGGCAATTTAAGCAATTCTAATCTTAAAAAAAAAAAAGGAAGAAAAGAAGGATGAAAGGAAAGAGAAGCAAGGTATAGAACTGCATAACGAGGCAGCAATTAGGAAGCTCAAAATAAATTGATCATGTTCCAGGTAAAGTAGAAAACTTAAGTTACTGTGCAATTCATAACACACAGGGAGGGCAGCCGAGGGGACATCATTAAAAGGCCTAGAAAGGAAGAGGTAATGCAAATGGAAGAGTTCCAATGACTAAATTAAGGCAGGAAAGGCTGCAAGCGTAGCTTAATTCTTTTGAGCATGATGTTGTTTTCTAGTTCTTTTGAGAGCTTAAAAAAAGACCCCAATAAATCAAGATAATAACAAAACACAATAAAGTTCATATTATTACAGCATGAAAGATTTTATTAGACCAAAAATATTTTGTTCACCTTCTCCCAAGTTTTTAAAGAAGCAGAGATAACTTCTCTTCTAAGATGGTGCCCGGGGTCTTGGCCAAAAGCAGCAGGTCTGACAACAACTAGGCCCTTTTCCTGTCCTAGGAGATCGTGAACTTCAGAGGCAAAAAAGAAGTCATCAAACTGAAGTGTGTCTGGCTGAGAGCGTACACTGAAGCGAAGGGAAAATATGTGGGGTGTGAGTCCATCCTGAGCTCATCTCGCAGGAATGGGAGCCACCAGCTGAAAGATGAGTCATTCCAATGGGAGGATTTTAAGGGAATTATTCCTGTTTTAATCGGCCGCCATGGAGAACCTGCAGGGGCGCTATCTTCCCAAGTCAAACACGTCCTTCGTAGCAGGTTGGAAGTTGGTTTATGAAGTATTTACCACAGACCCATTTACAACAGAGTAACTAACCAGGAATAAAAATTCAGATGCTTGCTAAACATTTAAGCTGCTTAGTAATCATGGTTATGAAGACTACAGCACCATGGAGAAATGTTCATGATGTGTTCTGTGAAAACAGCAGGACCCAAAGTTGAATTTATACTAGAATTACAACCTGTAGAAAACGATATGCAAAGCACATTGTTTTGAGTCCTCTTGCCACTCCCTGGTGACACCTCTCTTCCTTCCCTTCCTTCCTTCCTTCCTTCCTTCCTTCCTTCCTTCCTTCCTTCCTTCCTTTCTTAAAAATATATTTTTATTGATTTTTTACAGAGAGGAAGGGAGAAGGACAGCGTCAGAAACATTGATCAGCTGTCCCTTGCACACCCTCCACTGGGGATGTGCCCGCAACCAAGGTACATGCCCTTGACCAGAATCAACCTGGGACCTTTCAGTCTGCAGGCCGATGCTTTATCCACTGAGCCAAACCGGTTTTGGTGACACCTCTTTTTCAATCCCCTTATGTTATCTCCTTAAATGAAGAGGCAGGACCCATTCTGAAAGAAAAAAACAGTTAATTTGAGAAGAGATCCAGACTGAAGTTCGGAAAAGAGAAAGATAAATGATTAGCTTGTTAGATTGCTTTGTGTTTTTAAAGAAAGTGCAAATAATTTGATTATTACTAAAGCATGATTAACAATAATGGAAATTATTAATAATAGTGGAGTGACAATCATGTCCTCAGTTAAATGGATTAGAAAACCAAGCCCATCCATCTTTGCCTTTCTGTGCTTTGGGTGCCTCCTCTAGCCTGAGCCTCAGTCATTAGAGAGTCTACAGATAAATCTGTTGTCCAGAAAGGTGATATTAACAATAGGATTGCAGTGGGAAGACAGACAAAGAGGCGGAAAAGGATCTTCTTAAGACTAAAAACTCTGGGAAGGAGATTGAAAAGTATTTTCTGAAAAGCAAGATTTTCCTTATCAGTGATGGACTTGCTGATTAGCTAGTCTTAAAAAAAAAAAAAAAAAAAAAAAAAAGTACCCTTCAGTGGCAACTTTGTTGAGTAAACACAATTTCCCCAAAACCCACTCACCCAAAGAAATCTGTGTTGTAGCAACCTGTCAGGTTTTGAAAGGTGATCATGTAATCACGGGTTGTTCAGATTACTTTCTGGTCACCTGAGTACAATGGGTTGTATATGTCTTTTACCACAAGTGTGTAGGTGTCACCCACATCCTGAGACATAGCAATAACACACTCATAGGTAAGATAAAGTCTCAAACATTGGGGATCGAGACCTAGACCAGGCAAACAAGTCACTGGCAATTATATGACTAGATAATCACCTTATATGAGCAAAACATGAAGAGGACTCAGTGTCATCACCCAGTGAAACAAAGTTTAATAAGCATAATCCTTATCTTCTTTCAAAGTAACTAATCCTGAGTGGCATATAGCCCGCTACCTAATCAATATCTAATTGATAAGGCCGCCCTCTGAGCATCAAGACACCTGATTTGTTCAACAAGTATTCTTTGAGTATCTGCAGCATTGCCAATGGTCTAGATGATGGAGACTGGAGAAGAGTAAGGACCTAGGAAAATTCCAAGGGCGAGTAGAATGGGGAAAGACGCTGAGGAAGTGAGAAGTCTGTAGAGCAGAGCACCATCACTCAACAGTAAGGGGGTAGGAAAGGTCCCAAAGAAAGCAGAAAGGTGTGTTGAAACAGGAGTCTGGGATTACATGTCATACAGAGGTGAGCTGGGAATACTAGTCACCTGTGAGGCACTTTTGCAAGAAGCTTTTCTACATTCCTTCAGCGTTCCTCTTTATATATATACTAGAGGCCCAATGCACCAAGATTCCTGCAAGAATGGGTCTTCCTTGCTGAGACCGATTTGGCTCAATGGATAGAGCGTCAGCTTGGGGACTGAAGGGTCCCGGGTTCGATTCTGGTCAAGGGCATGTACCTTGGTTGTGGGCATATCCCTAGTGGGGGGTGTGCAAGAGGCAGCTGATCGATGACTTTCTCTCATCGATGTTTCTAACTCTCTCTCTCCCTTCCTCTCTGTACAAAATCAATAAAATATATTAAAAAAAAAAAATGGGTCTTCCTTCCCCTGGCTGCTGGCAGCGCTTTCACTCTGGCTGGAACCATCTTTCTACTTTGACCTGGAGCAGCCTTTCTGCTTTCCCACGCTGCCCAGAGGCCGGGAGTGACTGGGGTGGTGCTGAAACATGCGTTGTCGCCATGGCGACAATGCAAGTGTCCAGCCCCACCGCCATCTTTGTTAGGTTAATTTGCATAGTCACTCCTGATTGTCTGGTGATCACTGTGAAGGTACAGTCAATTAGCATGTTAGTCTTTTATTAGGTAGATATTTACTTATTGATTTCAGAGAGGAAGCAAGAAGGAGAGATAAAAGACATAAATGCTGAAAATCGTCCATCAGCTGCCTCCTGCATGCCCCCTACTGGGGATTAAGCTCGAAACCTGGGCATATGCCCTGACCAGGAATCCAACAGTGACTTTCTGGTTCATAGGTTGATTGATGCTCAAACACTGAGCCCCTCCTTGGGTTTCACCTTGTCCTTGAGCCTCACAGTATCTTTGTTATCTAGACAGTCAGAAATGTCCAACTTTTAGGAAATGGGAGTTCATACATTCTGTTTAACCTTATTTTACAGATGTGGAAATTGAGGATCAGAGGAAAGTGACTTGCTTATGGTGACATAGCAAGTCAGCAGCAGCTAAAGCAGAATCAGAAGAGCCCTAGAATCTTGCCTTGTGTCCTTCGGCACCCGGCCATCTGCTCAATAAAACCTACAGCTTGCTTAACTTCCTGCACACCCACACAACACCACGCACAGCTCCTCTGTGGAAGTTAATGATTAAAATCTGATGTGCTCTAAAGCATCTAACCAGTAACTAATTAAGCAAATTTCTGTGAGAAAAGACATTTCAAACAGAAAAATGTTCTCTTAATCTAAATCCATACATACGCCTTTAAATTGTAGTAGCATAAACTGTACAAATATTATAATTGTACAGTTTATGCTACTACAAAGATACTTAAAAACATTTCATAATACAATGCATCAACCTCTAGCTTTAGATTTTCTCCTCATTGCAGGCCTCATGTTAGGCTCTGATAAAATGGTTTTGTAACTTTTTTTGGGGGGATTTAACTAAAACAACTTCCCTCAGTGTTGGAGTGAACAAGGTAATAAAATCTCTTTGCTGTGCCCCCTGTCTCCAGATAGGGCTGTAATTACACCACAGAAGGAAGAAAGGTAGCTGAATCCCACTCCAGATCATTTCTGTGAACCCAGCCTCCTTGTCAACGGTGCTCTCACATTGCATGCAAACCGCAGAGATATCTCCTATGAGCCGCAGAGACAGGGTCTGGTTGCAGGACCATGAGCTGGCTTTTATTCCTTGTGAAACTGATGTCTGTGGTTCAAAAACAGAAATTGACATTCTGAGGTTTAAAGAAGGTATTGCCAATGAAATCCCCTGGGCAAAACACACACACACACACACACACACACACACACACACACACACACGAAACTTGTAAAAATTAAAGGAATTTCTTTGATGACCAAGTATTACAAATAAATGCATTTTACTCAAAAAAGCATCTTGTTCAGCTTTTAAAAAAAGTTTTGTTCTTTGCAATGTGTTTAAAAATGGATCTTTAAGAAAGAAAAGCAGGCCATTTCTACAACAACCAAGTTGACTTTTGATAACGTTTTAATCTCTTAATTCAACCATTTGGCATTTTCCCCCAACAATTTCCCCCAAATCTTACAAAAACCACCAAGTGCAAAGTATATTCACACCGTGTCTGCAAATACAGAGACGTAGGCATAGTTTTCCTCAACCGCTGAACTGCCCTCCGGTCGCTGGTCTTTGAAGTGACAGTCCCCCGGGGCTGGCGCTGTCAGCGTGTCCCCTGACACCTGAAGCGCCCAGCGTGCTCTGTCCTCTGGAAGGAAAACCACAGGCCACCGCCCTGGCGCCATCCCTGGCTCGGTCCAATCAATACGGACTTATTTCCTGTCCATTTGCTGAGGTCACAGGAGCGAATCTCATTAATTATTTCTGCTACTGCAGCCTCCAGTGTGCTTCTGGCGTGACAAAGGAAAACGGCTTGACCTTTTTTTCTTCTGATTTTGTTTGTAGCTGTTCCAAAAAGATGGCAGTATTCATTTAGCAACGTGATAAAAGGAAGAAAACACAACGTGTATGTTTTTAAAGTCATTAGCAAATTGAGATATTTCATGATGAAAGCTCTCTGGATCACCTCATCCTTCGTTTTTTTTTTTCAGCTGACGAACAATAGTGTCTTTTTAATTTGGTGTCACGAAAATCTGGTCACAGCAAACACAATGTTTTCTAAAGCAGATCTGGCCTCGGAGGGAGGAAAGCTCTCCAGGGCCGCCAGGGCCTTGTTTCCATGGTAACGACACAGGTCAATAGCCGAAGTCACACCTTTGCCAGCTTTGATTGTTTCTCGCAACTGTTAAGACACAAACGCACAGTGAAAGTCAGTTTTTAAGGTACCACAATTAAACTGGGGAGGGGAGGCGGAAAAACAAAGAAGGGGACAACCATATAGATTCCATGCGCCAGCTCATTCTTTTGAGGTAAAGAGACATGGTCCCCCAATGCCTCCAGGGGAGCCCAATGGGCTCCAATGAGCCTAATTACACCACAACCCCCACCCACTGGCATCTTGCAATGTGCCTGCTGGGGGCGGGCGGTGGGGGAGGTGGGGAGTGACGTGGAGGACATTTGCTTTGCGTTTCCAGCATTTTGCATCAGCAGCCTAGTTATATCCTAGTTAAAAATTGTATTTTCCCCACTGTTTGTTGACACAACAGTCCATATGAAAATTCAAGAAAGACGCTACATTAAAAAAAAAAAAAAAAGAACACTACATTTTAAGCACTAAAATACTTTATTTGGGAAGAATGAATTGAAAATAGCCTTTTAAAGAATAAAGGAACTCATCAACAAATAGAACTGAATAAAATGGTTACACTTTAGGGCTGAAAAAGATTTGGTCTGTCCAGCTTCCCTTTGCCTGGATTCCATCTTTTCTTTCTCAGTGACAACCTCACATGTGCCTAACGCCCTAACCAGAAACCCGGGTCCTCCCTCATCCCTCACATCCAGCCAGGTACCATGGCAGCACCAGCGTTGTTTACCCTGGACGGCATTTCTGGCCCTCAGAGACTGGGTGGGGCCACGTGACAGGTTCTAGTCCCTGTGAATGATGCTGTCCCTTTGGGCTGCAGCCTTCACTTGTCCATGGAGTCCCTGCAGAGCTTTCCCTCTGGCACACTGACAGGCTCCTCAGCCTGGATCCCAGAGGGACCTGGTGAGCCACCACAGAGCCGCTCGGACCTGAAAGGGACATGTCATACCAGCGAGAAACATGTCTTTGTTGTTTGAAGCCACAGAGATTATGAGGGTGTTGGGAGCCTCTTGACTGATAGCGCCACTGAGTCCTAGCTATTCTTTCCCCTGTGAAGCTCTCAACTTGATCCTTTGCTCTTTATTCCCAATGTCATTATGATAGTTCAGGCTCCCACCATCCCTCATCTCCTACAGAGTCTACCCACCACCAGTTCTACCCCTCTGGACTCCATCCGTTTCCCCCTTTCAGCACGTATTTAGGGAGACTACTTGTAGCTTCATCTCTGCCATAAAGCTCCCCAAATTGCACTTGGGTGGAATGCACTCAGCTAGGATGACACCCTAAGGGACTAGGTGCCACTCTGCATTCTGCAGTACAGCATTGTTATACAGTGTCGTATTTTAATTCTTCATTCACCCAACTATCTCTTCATTAAATGTTAAGCTACTGCATAATCCAGGAAATATAAAAGAATAAAAGAAATAAACTGTTTTATTCCTCTAATTATAAGATGAACAGAGGTCCAAAGAAGCTTAGGGGTTCAACAATTATAGATGAGATAGTGGCAAAGCTAAGATGAAAAGCCTGGTTTTTCTTTTTATTAATTTTAGAGAGAGAAGAAGGGAGGAGGGTATGGAGGGAGGGGGAGGGGAGGAGGGAAGGAGAGGGGGGGGGGAGAGAGAAGGAAATATCAACTTGTTGTTCTTACACCCCTCCCCCCACCCCCCCCGTTTCCATCAAGTTCATAGGAACATAACCATAACCATCAGGGCCATCTGCTGCTTTGGTGCTACAATGGCAGAGAGTGCAGTTGAGGGGCTGCCACAGAGACTGTATGGCCTGCAAATCATCAAATATTTACACTTTGGCTTTGATAGAGAAAATCTGCTGGCTCCTAGATTAAAACAATGACTATCTTCTATTTAGATCCAACAATAGTTAATATTTTGCCATTTTTATTCTGTCTACATGTGTGTGTATGTTTTGGGAACCATTTTAAAATAAGCTGGAGGCAGTGATAAATTAGCTCTCCAGGGGAGGACAAAGCTTTATTTGTAGCATTTGCAGAGTTTTGTGGTATGAATACTTCCATCATTGAGTTTCAAGCTACCGAGGGCTGTGGGATCACAAAATTCTTGAATATTTAACAACAGGCTCTGAGCAGGTAGGACCTGCCCTGGACACACCACGGAATACAGGATGCTTAGCCCTTGTTTGGACATGAATCTCCTAAATTAAGAACACTCCCCTCCCTCGATATAAACCAGGATACTATTATCACAGCTAGGAAAGTTCACAACAGTTCTCTCACACTATCTAATACCTAGTCCATGTTCAAATTCCCCATCTGACTCTAAAATGTTGTCTTTTTTAGCTTTTTAAATTCCAACCTCATCAATCCTGGTTTACATATTTCATTTGTTGGCTATGCCATTTTATTTTATTTTTTTTTTTATTTTTTTTTTTTTTAATTTTTAAATAAGTTTTTATTGTTCATATTATTACAAATGTTCCTTCCCCCCCCCCCCCCCACCATTGCTCTCCTCCACCAGGTTCCCACCCCACCCTCTGCTCTTTCCCCACTCCCCATTGTCCTCATCCATAGGTGCACAGTTTATGTTCAGTCTCTTCCCACATCCCCCTCTCCCCTTTTCCCCAAGAATCGTCAGTTCACTCCCCTTCCATACCTCTGATTCTATTATATTCAACAGTTACTATTGTTCATCAGATTTTTTTTTTAATTTCCTTGGTTTTTAGATTCACTTGTTGATAGTTACATATTTGTTGTTCATAATTTTTATCTTTGTTTACTTTCTCTTCTGAAAGAACCCCCTTCAGCAACTCATATAAGTCTGGTTTGGTGTTGATGAACTCCTTTAGCTTTTTTTTTATTAGTGAAGCTCTTTATCTGACCTTCGATTCTGAGTGATAGCTTTGCTGGATAGATTATCTTTGGCTGTAGGTTCTTACTATTCATCACCTTGAATATTTCTTGCCATTCCCGTCTGGCCTGCATGGTTTCTGTTGAGAAGTCAGCTGACAATCGTATAGGTGATCCTTTATAGGTAACTACCTTCTTTGCTCTTGCTTCTTTTAATATTCTCTCTTTGTCTTTTGCTCTTGGAATTTTAATTATGATTTGTCTTGGTGTGGTCCTCTTTGGATTCCTTTTGTTTGGAGTTCTGTGCGCTTCCTGGACTTGTAAGTCTAATTCTTTCTCCAGGTGGGGGAAGTTTTCTGTCACTATTTCTTTCAGTATGTTTTCGATATCTTGCTCTCTCTCATCTTCTGGGACCCCCATAATTCTGATGTTGGTTCGCTTGAAATTGTCCCAGAGGTTTCTTACATTATCTTCAATTTTCTGGATTCTCTTGCCTTCTAGCTTCTGTGGAGGAGTGTCTTCTGGCTCTTTATGTTCCAAATCTTTGACTTGATTCTTGCGATCTTCCCTTCTGTTTTTAGGACTCTGTAAAATATTTTTTATTTCAGACAATGTATTCTTTATTTCTTGTTGTTCCCTTATCATTTCTTGATGACTCCTTATTAATTCTAGTTGATTTCTTTTCATGTCCTCATAGGTCTTATCAATCTTTTCTAGGAAATTCTTGAAAAACCTTATAAGCGTAGATTTGAACTCTATATCCAGTCGCTTTTTGTCCTCCATTTCTTTCGTTTGTCGGCTATGCCATTTTAATTTTTCCCCCCTATGACATTGCTGTTTTGAAAGGACTAGGCTGTGTTGTACAATGTTTTACATTCTGTATTTCTCTGATCATTTCATTTAATTTGGTACTCCGTGTAGTATTCAGTTAGGCTCAACTGAATATGCAAAGGTGGTTCACGTGGTATGTAACCCTACAATGAAGGTTAATTCAGATTAGGACGAGACAGCACCCAGGAAGACATCACTGAAAGTTACTCACATCCTAAAAGAGTGAATTCTCTCACCCAAAGATGATTTTACCTCCAGTTAACAGCAGAATCTGTTCTGTCTGTGGAGGTGGGTTCACAGGGCTTTGTATTTCAAGGGACCTGATAGAGTCCAGGTGTAAGATGCCCACATAACGACTCCCCAGTAATCTCATCCTTCAGGGAAGGGATTGTTTCTCAGTCATCTGTAAACACTTCTGCCACCTACACAAACTATTGTGTAGTTTAGAAATCCTTTAGATATAATTCATAGACTATAAATGAGATTCATTTTATATTATAAATTTGCATAGGTCTATCCTGAGAAGACAGTCTTGTCCTATATATATAAATGTGACAAAAAAACAACAACACATAAGCTGGGGTTCAAACTTTATTGACCATAAGTTCACCCGGGGAATTTTATTTATTTATTTATTTATTTATTTATTTATTTATTTATTTATTTATTTTTTATTTTAAAATATATTTTATTGATTTTGTACAGAGAGGAAGGGAGAGAGATACAGAGTTAGAAACCTCGATGAGAGAGAGTCATCGATCAGCTGCCTCTTGCACATCCCCTACTGGGGATATGCCCGCAACCAAGGTACATGCCCTTGACCGGAATCGAACCCGGGACCCTTCAGTCCCCAAGCCGACGCTCTATCCATTGAGACAAACCGGTCCCGGCCACCCGGGGAATTTTAAAATGCAGATGCCTAGACCCTATTCCTGGAGACGGGAGTCAATAAGGTCTTTAAAAAATACTTCCTGCCGAGACCAGTTTGGCACAGTGGATAGAGTGTTGGCTTGGAGACTGAGGGGTCCCAGGTTCGATTCCAGTCAAGGCCATGTACTACCTTGGTTGCGGGCATATCCCCAGTAGGGGCTGTGCAAGAGGCAGCTGATCGATGACTCTCTCTCATCGATGTTTCTAACTCTCTATCTCTCTCCCTTCCTTTCTGTACAAAATCAATTAAAAAATAAATAAATAAAAAAAAATAAAAAATACTTCCTATGCCATTCCAATGATTAGCCAGATTTGTGAGTATCTTACTAGTGAGGGCATGTATTTTGAGTTACTCTATTTTAAAACTACTTTATTTGTATTAGGTTTATATTGTTTCAGCTATACTTCCAACTGGTTGTCTTTACAATGATTAAATTCAATTCAACAAGCATTT